AAAAATTTTTGGCGACCTCCCCCCCCCGTCGCCAAAAAAATTTCGGTCAGTGTACCATTTTAGGGGTAAAAAATTTTTCCGGACATACCATATCTTTCCTTAAATACTAAAAATTTTTTCCGGAAAAACAAATATATGATATTTTTATCGGAAACTAAAACATTTTTCAGGAAAAAACCTACATTACAGTTTTCAAAAGTTTCGTTTGGACAAAAACTGCGAATTTTATGAAATTTTTTTAGGCACAAAAAGGGCACTTTGCTTCTGTAAAAAGGGCACTTGCCAAAACATGGGGGGGCCATGGCCCCCCTGGCCCCCCCCGGTTCCTACGCCCCTGTACCTAACAATACAAGATTTTACACCAATGAATTATACTAGATTTAATCCCAATGTCAGAAATCGTTATTGTTTGACCAGCTGCACTATGTCTATATGTGCTGTTTTAGATTAAATATATGAAATCAATATCTGAAAAGCTTTCAGTGAATTATGTCTAACCATGCATAATAAGTACATTTATATATAAGTAATAATAAGAAGAGCAATAAGATCATATAAACAAGCCAAAAGCTTAATAAGAAACAATTTGAAAACCACTAAAATATTTTATCGAAATTTTCAAAAATCAACGGAAAGTACTTGTAACAATAACTTTAATAATCAAACGACACGTAAGTCATAGCACGTTTCAACTGCTGCATATGAAGTGTAAAATATTCATGTTCAGCTGTATATTAGAAATAAACCACATTAATAGTATTCGCATGACACACATAACGCAGCTAAGGGGCGGACCATTTGATTTTTGAGCGGGGGGTTGGAAAATTTCGAAAAAAAATTTCCTGCAATCCAAGAAGAAAGAAAAAAAAATCATGCACCATACAATCGAGAAAAAAAATCATGCAAAAGAGAGCGCTCCAAAAAAAAATTCCTACATGTATTAAAATCTACTGACGTTCTTCACTTCAGTATTGTGTCCACAGGCTTGCAAGACTTTGCATTTTTGAGCCGGCACATTTGCTTAAAAGAACACGGGTGAACCTGAACAGTGGACAACATCACAGGGATTCTGCCGCCTTTGGAGCCTATAACATACGATAGCCAGTGGCGTTCCCTGGCAAAATTGTTGCCCCCCCCCACTGAGAAAATCTTGGCTTAAGATATGTACAAGTTTATAAGTTATTTATACATATCTAATATGCATGGTAGAAAAAGTATTTTTGGATGGTTGAGTCTGTGTGCGTTTTTTGATTACATATATAGCTCCAAACTATATTAAAGCTTCAAAGGCCCATCTACAGGATGCAAGTTGAACGTACTACGATGATTTTAATGCGAAAATGATACGATGATTTTAATGCGAAAATGTCACGATGATAATGATACGATGGTAATGATACGATGATTTTAATGCGAAAATGTCAGTTTAGTCTTTAGAGAGTCTAGATTTTAAAAAATTCTGAAGAGGATGCAACCCGATCCCCAACAAGCTACACTTTTACAGGAAAAAATATCTGTCTTATTCCTCTGGGCGGAAAAAAAATTCTTGCACAGTCTGAATCTTCCAACCCTCCCCCCCTCAAAAATCAAATGGACTGCCCCTAAGTGCTTTCGCAACAAAATTTTTCACATTATTTTTTGTGATTGAATTGTAGAGAAAATTGAAAATGACTATAGTAAAATACTTTGCTATCTTGGCTTGTTTCTTTCTTGAGATTTTCAAGAATGTTCGATGCGCAAATTCTTCAAACTATGACGTCAAATTGCATAAAGGCTTAGTTTGTGAAATTTAAATTATAACTCTTATAGTAACTGATTCGAATCTGTCGACATATAGTATATATTTGTAGCATGTTGACCTAACACACATGCACGGTTTTACGATTTCGATGAACGATATAGCAAGATCTTGCAGTTTTTTAGAGGGGAAGTTGTTATGCAATGTGACGTCATAATGAGGATAATTTGCGTATCAAACACGTAATAAGTCGGTTTTCCACTATTAAGAAAAGCAATTTCGTGGAACCGTCCTGGGGAATAGATTTTCTGTGGTTCAATGCATAGTTCTATAGATGTTCAATTACCACAAAAAGTTTCCAAGCGAAAAACCTGCCCAAAACCGAGAAAATGAGTTATCAGCGATTATGGTCTATTAAATTGTACTGCATTACAGCAAGAAAATGTGAAAGTTTGTATTCGATTACAACAAAAATGACTTGCATCATCAGAAAGCTTACGAAAACCTACATATAAGACATTTAAAAAGTTTTTTTATATCTCAAATAGTTTTCGAGTTATACGCTGTCAAAAATGCGTTTTTGACCAGTCCTTATTGCGACGTTTTGGTCCAATTTTTACATTTAAAACAGCAATAACTTAAAGACTATTTGAAGAATGAAAAAACTGTTTAAAAGTCTTATATACGTTTTTTGTAAGTTTCCAGATGATGCAAGTCATTCTTATTGTAATTGAAGACAAAATTTCACATTTTTTGCTGTTATACAATTTAATACAGGATAATCATTGATCGCCCATTTTCTCGGTATTGGGCAACTTTTTTTGCTTGGGAACTTTTTTTGAATGATGAAAAACTTCGTTGCATGAACACTTTGAATTTAGTTTGAGAAATAAGAATATTTAATGTACGAATATATATTGAAATAAGGTCTAGACAATATGGAAAACTTCAATTTCTGATGGTCGAAAATAGAATGTTCCTGCCAGGATGGTGTTTGGGTCGCTGACACCAGATGGAGCTTGGTAGCCGGAATTAAAAGTTGTGAGTGAATTGGTATTCGAAGGCGCATCATTAGATATGTGTATATCGTGATCTACTTCCTGTGAGAGTTCCTGTGAAAATTGCGTACCGAGTATTTTGATCTTTCAGTTGGGCTTTGAAAGATGGGAGATTTCTTTGTTACGAAAAGAGAATATGAAGGATCCTGCATGGAGCTTGTATTCCCTGCCAACTAGTACCTGTTATAACGTAAAAAAATGTTTTGACATATCTAATCAGATTTAAATTGAATATCGGCACAGTAGTGTTGCAGTCGCGGATGAATTTGAAAGTGTTCATGTATATGTTGCATTTAAGCCTGCCGCACACGAGAGTATTAACATAACCGTCAGCAGTTTAAACTAACGCCGAGCCTTTACACGCTTCACGAACTTGCTTGAGAAGCTTTTGATTTAGCCACGTGAGGTCTTCATTGATAAATATTCCGGCTTTTCCTCTAAGGCGTCGTTTTGCTCTCATGACTTTTAGTTTAGATTCATAACCAACAAATTTCACTATAATCGCCCTTTGCCCGGCATCATTATATAGGTCGACCAATTCTATGAGCGCGATCGATTTCCTCGCGTTTCACAATTACGCCCAGTTCAGCTTTGCAAAAGTCAATTACTGTTTGAGCACAATTTTCTTTAGGCACGACTCCATCGACACCCTCCTGCACTAGCCCTGGCGCCTGACTTAGTCCATAAATGCGGATACTATATCTCCTCGAATACTGTTCGTTGTCGTTAGTCTTCTCCTGACGTTTTTCGACTTTAGCCTCTAATTCAACAATCTTATCCTGAAGAGGCTTCATTGCGCATTGAACCATGTCCGATATAACTCCCCTAATGGATTCCTTTAAGAGAATCTTAAACTCATCAGATTTCAAAAATTTTGATATTTCGACTTGCATCGCTGTTTGGATTTCATTCGATTGGTCCTTCGACTTTGCAGATTCGGCTAAAGAAGACGGTTTTGTCGTCACTTTCGATGATCTAGTGACAGACATTTTAATTGTGAACTTTTAAGTTCACGAGCAAATCTAAATTCTTTTATCGTAAGGTTGCGTACTAACTATATTATTAAGATGGCTCTTGGTCGCTTTATTTAGACAAATTTACCAGCTTTGGCCCACTGAAACCGACTAAGGCTTACATAGACCTTGAATTCTAACACAACTCGGAGCTCGTAAAGGCACGTCTGTTCACACCGAGCGTGAACACACATTGAGCACAATTTATGTTTAGAGGAAAAATTTTGTATTTTGAAAGAAAATCAAAACTGTTTACTCAATAAAAGAATGGAAATTATATCTGCGTGCAGACATAGGAAGAAATTTCGCGTAAACAACGAAAACAATACACTCCCACAATTCGATTAGGTATTTCCGCGTAAACAACGCAAACCTATTTTCGAAACTTGTCATACCGCTTGATGATTCTTCACTGATGAAACAGACTGTTGCGAAATTTTGAGGAATTTTGATATATATATATATATATATATATATATATATATATATATATATATATATATATATATATATATATATATATATATATATATATATATATATATATATATATATATATATATATATATAGAATTACGTTTCGTTGTTTACAAAAACATTTGGCAGAGTGCTCAATGGATATCCAGAGCATAATTAAATAAGTGCAACGACTCAACAAATTCCACTAGGCATCTTTATTACTATTAGTTTCGTACCACAAGATGTGGCACTCATCAGATGCCTAGTGGAATTTGTTGAGTCGTTGCACTTATTTTATTTTATATATATCTATATATATCTATATATATACACTGGATCCAGAAAAGTTTGACCTTCGAATATATATATATGTCGGCCATTTTGAATTTTATTGGGTTAATTATGCGCGAACGCATACATCAAATGTCGCTCGCAACGTACTGTATATTGCAATATTCCAACAGCTCAAATAAGTAAAGGATCATTGCTTGAAGTTCTTACACATATTTGTAGTAGCTATCTAATGAACATTTGAGGGTTGTTAGCTAATTAACTCTTGTCACAATTTGGAACCTGATCTTTTTGGCATGTCGTAATTTATTCTTTTGCATCCTTAGAGATTTAGACGCTTATTAGCATGCCTCGATGAATTTCTTTGTTTATTCTTTCGTATTCACTTGTGCTTATTTTATAGTTGTAACCTACGTCCAGAATTATTATATTTTGCCAACGGAAATTTCAACGGAATCGATAGTCATTCGATATTTCATCCCCTGAAACTCAGCACGCGCAGCATTCGTGACCTGGCGAAGCAGGTCACTATGTTCATTTCCAAATGTTCATTTCCTACTAGCCATTATGATTATGTGCAAAGACATCAATCAATGATTCTTTTATTCATTCGAGCTGTTGGAATAATATTGCAATATACAATACGTTGCGAGCGACATTTGATGTATGCGTTCGCGTATAATTAACCCAAGAAAATTCAAAATGGCCGACATATATATATATTCGAAGGTCAAACTTTTCTGGATCCAGTATATATAGCTATTATATATATCTATATATCTATATATCTATATATCTATATATCTATATATATATATATATATATATATATATATATATATATATATATATATATATATATATATATATATATATATATATATATATATATATATATATATATATATATATATATATATATATATATATGTATATAATTTAATTTCTTAACTTAAAATATAGTCACAACTCTGAGTTTCACGCTCAATGCGATCTTCAGGCGACAATGAAACGTGAAACTCAGAGTTGTGACTATATTTTAAGTTAAGAAATTAAATTATTTGCTCTACGTTATTAAATGGTATTGAGCACTCTTTCTACACTGTAAAATTTGATCATCTTTGGTCTCATTAATATATATATATATATATATATATATATATATATATATATATATATATATATATATATATATATATATATATATATATATATATATATATATATATATATATATATAGATATATATAATAGCTATATATAGGCTATATATACACTGCACACTATATAGTATATATAATATAACAAACATTTGAAACTCAAACTTTCCATGTTGCTATTTAGCCAAAACTATGTCTGTGCGTAAAATATGCGTATTTTTGTTTGTAAATTGCGTCTTCATTTTCCGGATAGCAAACACCTTCGTGGCTTCATATGCCATGAAATATTCGGAAAATTTTTTGTCATTCGGAAATTTTTGACCTACACTCCCCCCGCTCAAGTTCAAATGTGCTTTCAACCACCATAGGAATTTTTTACTGGAGTTAGGATTCTAGATAGGGAACACTACAACTTTTGTTGGTAAACAGAAGAAATTGGAATCATTATTCACACATTGTACCGCCCACCCCATTCAGCCCGGATTTCAGCTTTTCATAAGGGCAGTCCTTTTGCCCATTGGGCCTTGACCCACCCCTTGGCTACGCCACTGCATATACATACCTAGTATGCGAAACGCTATATTTCATGTATGTTAGACACGTTTCATGCTAATTTGAAAGTCCCAGATTTGGTATATTTTATGTCAATAAATGAATACATTTAAGAAGTTACGCCCCTCCCCCAGTTTCTCCTATGTTTTGAAAGAATTACAAAATTGGTCCTGAAGAACAGAGTGTATTGGGGTCCGCCCCCCAGTTTCCCCCGCGGCTACGTCTATGGCGTAAACCAAATGCAAAAACTCAATCAATCACTTTATTATACCATCATTATAAGCAGTAAGCTAATCAAATTACAACAATTTAGTTAAGCTGAAACTATTAAAAGACTAGACCTCATTCGCAGTCGTATACAAAATCCAAAGTGCATCAATTAAGCGAAAAGAAATCCAGCAATCACCATGAAACAGAGAATGAACTTGGTCATCATGACACCACTTGCACTGTTACCGGGGGTGAAATCGTTGCAATTATCTGTGTTACAACATACACCACGGCAGGATTTCAGGCTCGCTGACTTGGTCTTCTCTCTGCATGTTTTTGCTGCGTCGGGGCAATAGGGGTCCGAAGGTTTGTTACAGTCTCTGTCAAGCACTACTGTGCCATCACTCTGGGTGTAGGTTGCTGTGTAACAAAACCCTGTGCTACACTGGACTGTAGTACTCGAGTGGCAACTTGGTTTCGATTTTGCTGAGCTAGCGAAACACTTATTGCATGTAAGAGTACTCCCTAAAGCGACAAGAAATTATTAATTCATATCTTGTTGTTTAAAGGTCAGGATTAGGAACATATCAACAGAGAAACATGGCCACTGCACAAAAAAAAATAGAAAAAATATTTAGCTATTACATAAAACTCGTTTCATTATATGGCAAGGTGGTTGATCTGCAAAATACGACATTTTGATTGGTTCCTGAGCGGTCTGCAACTTAATTGCAGTACGGACCAGCTAAGATTGTCGCTAGCGAAGAAAAACTTGAATTACCCTTTCCCCGTCGAAAAAACCTATATTATGAATATGTAACCTTCGCAAGGTTTTTGTATAAAATAACTTACTATTCTACTAATTCAGTTTGTGTTAAAACGTTGTTTACATGTATAAAAACACTTTTTAGAACTGCACTTAAAATGCTGTAGAATGATACTTAATATATTTGCCGCACTTTAAAAGTTTTTAAACTGTTCTGTTTTCGACTTTTGCTTCCGAAAATCTGTTGTTATCAATTGTGTACAAAAATTTAAAATCCCGTGTTTTTAAATGTTCAAGTGGGGTTGTAAACAACCTAATTCTTCACATAATGAAAAACATTGTTTTTCAAAGAATGTTCTTGTTCGGTTTGGACCACTCACATCTGGACCAGCAGCTGGTCCGGACATGTAGGATATTAGTCTTTTCTTCTTTCGTTTGTATATAAATAGGACCTCGCGTACGTCTTGGTCATTAATCCTCCAGAAAAATAATTCAAAAATTTCTTACCCAAAGCTGAGATAGTGACCAAAACTCCCAGAGCGAGTAAAATTTTGTTCAACATTATTGTGAATGTTTATCGAAACTAAATCAGAGAAAAAAAATTCAAATAATGAAAGGTGCACGTTGGAATGCAAGATATTTTTGAAAAAGAATAACAATTGTTATAATACAATAGAAAACCATAAAAGAACATAAATAAGACACAACATTGCAACACAGTACAACACAGTAAAAGACAAAACAACACAATACAACATGACACGATACGACAAAACAAAGTCATACTACTGTACAATGCAATGCACCCTATATATAATATAATACAATACAATACAATACAATACAATACAATACAATACAATACAATACAATACAATACAATACCATACAATATTGTAGAATTATTAATTCTTGTTGATGTGGTGTAGGTATGATTAATAACAAACAAAAATAAGCGTCGCATTGTCTAAATGGTTGACACAATAAATTGTTGTACTAGTTGTACCTCAACAGGGCGACGTATCAAGTTATATGTACACAAGTTATATCACAGCATCACACATTATACCATAATATAACTTTTTAAGATTTAAAAGTACTTTATAGATGCAAACATACGAACAGAGTCAAACATCTTATGAAGAACTTTTCTTAACCTATCATTTTTTTAATAACTGCTACAATATCTACATATAAGTTATAACTGTCTTTGAGTAATTTTTTTAACAATTCAATTATTCAAATTACCATATTCTAACTCCAGTTTTTGCAAACATGTTATTATGCATGCTTGACCATTATGGAATAATGAACTTGATTATCACAGAGTAAAAAAATCTAGTATTATGTTCATGTACTTGATTCGACGAAAGAAATAAGCCGTTATTGGCCGAAAAATTCGTTTTCGGAACTCTATGATGAAGATGTCTTTGATACCCATTTTACAATTTTTGCTGCGATTTCTGGTGCAATTTTCTTTTTCTGATGGATGTGAACGAGTAGATAAGTTATGAATGTTCTGAGTACATTTAGCCTCATCGGAACATTCACAACTCATCCTATACTCGTTCACATGCACCAGCAGAAGAAATTTTACTTGCTAAAAATCTTACTACCACCTCAGAGTTTAAGGCCTAGCTAACTAGCTTATGCATATAATTGCCTATATACATATAAATGGTTTTTGCCGCTTTAGATTTATTTACCAGCTTTCATGCCATTCAAATTACAAATTAGAAGAATAGTACTCATGCAGTAGGAAATTTTGTTGTAGCAAAGTAGCGAATAGTTCGCTATATTTTTTTAAACAATGGCAATAGTGGAAGCGAACTACATTTCTTGCTAAATGGGATCAGTATATTTGTAGCTGTTTACATTTTTTCGAAGTAGCTTATAGTTGCAGCTGTAGTGAACTATACAAGAAAACTGTAGTCAACAGATCCTTGAACTGTACGCGTAAGGCCAGGGTGAAACGTCGAACTTTTCATGCACCGAATCTAATGCAAATGAAGTGAATCAAAGAACTTAGCTCATTAACACTAGGTTCGGCGCATGAAAAGTTCGACGTTTCACCCTGGCCTTAAGGCCCATACAGATCGACCGGACGCGATTCGGCAACGCGAATTTTTAGTTTTTAAAAACAAATAAAACCGTCAACGGATAAAAATTTTACAAGATATGCAGACCAAATAGCTAAAATTGCTGAAGATGTTCCGAATATTTGAAAAACATAGAAAAATATTGAAGTTAAATGTCATTAAAAGTTCGAGTTGCCAAATCGCATCCGGTCTGTATGGACCTTTAGAACTAATACACAATAGGGCAAGTCCAGTTTAAGAATTAACAAGACGCCTACTCAGGCGTTCACTCCGCCTGCCGGCCTGCGGAGAAAATGGGGACAATGTAGGGTGCGACGGAAAAGTGAAGTCAAATATAAGCCGAAGTGGCGACGTTTGGCTAATGCTGACGCCACTACAAGTCTTAATTAACACGTGCGTAGGGGGCTGAAGCTGATGTCTAAACTGGCTGTGATGGCATGCAAGGAGCCTGAAACTGACGTCCTAATGTCCAAACTTTACATTGAATTTTCATAAGAAAGTGCCATAACCTATAAGAGACAGAAATAGGATATTAATTCTGACACACCAATTCTGTTTGGCCCATCATTGTAATAATAGAGGTCCCAAAAGCATGTTTGAGTGGCTTGGTAGGTATTCTGCCCAGAGTCCTAGTAGGGTTGAATTAAATACATTACACAACACATAGTATCTATTAATGTATCAATCAATTCGAAACTGCACCATCCCCCCCCCCGGGCATACCCCGGGAATTTGACTTCAAGTCTTCTCTAGGAAGTAGGTAATTTGACGTTCTAGGTCTTCCATGTGGTGGGGCATTTGATAACGGGGTGGGGAATTTGAACCGGAAGTCTTAACATTTTGCCCGTTTTCGCGTGCTTCCTGCATGAACAGAAAATACTTCGCATTGGCGGCAAATACAGTTTTCTCAGATTTCGAGGGAAACAGCCTCAATTTTGTGAAAAACTGGCTCAAAGAAACGGGCATGGAAAATCTACGTGCTTCATTTGAAGGTATGTACTACATAATTGTGTAAAACTGTTAAATTTGCAGAAGGTATCCAAACTTTTTACGTGGATTTCGCTATCCTGTCGAAAAACATTTCCGTATATTTTGTACTTTTTGTATTCACTGTTTCATAATTTTCATATGAAGGTGGGGCATTTGAACGCTTAATTTCTTGTTACAGTGGGGCATTTGAAGACATTTTTTGCACAGGGGGTGGAGAATTTGATCAGTCAAATTTCAAAAAGTTCAAATTCCCGGGGTCGGCCCGGGGGGGGGGGGGTGGTGAAGTTTCGAATTGATCGATACATAACACACAAGGGCAGTAGAAAGAGCAAAGCAAGCAAACCCAAGCTGGCTGTGAGTTCAAGAAGCTGACGTTTCTGTTATTTGTTAACATCACTATATATCATAGATTATATTCTTGTCTTGCAACCAGTCCCTTGAGAATTAAAAGAATGTGCGAAATTCGGTAAAAAATAATGAGATTCTTTGTCTTAATCAGTGCTCTCACTTTTAAGGAATTATCCTTAAAAATAGGAATTTTGAAGAGTTTTAAGGATTTTTTTAAGGAATTTAGGTTTTTGAGGATTTTTTTAAGGAATTTCCGAAACATTTTATCCTGGACTAAAAACATTTGACGGAGAATAACCACGCCACGCAAATGAGATTTAAACTTGAAAGTAGCAACATTATATGCACATAATTACATATATTTGTATGTTCTCTATGTTGTAAATGTACATAAGGCTGTCTTTCCATTAAAATTCTCAAAAGTTAAATGTCAGTGTATGCTGTTTCTTCAGAAATCTACAGATTTTCTAAGTTCAGAGGGCCCTAGCGACCGGGGGAGGGGGAGGGAGGGTGCAACACCCCTAATATTGCTCATGAACAATTTCAGGTAGATATCCTGTAGATTTTCAGGTAAATTCAGGTAATTCTCAGGGCATAAAAAAGTGAACTCTATAATCTGAATTGGAGTTAACAATCAAACAAACTAAAGACGTTGAGATGTGTTGTGAAATACCCTTTCTGACGATCTGGAGACTCCAAATTTCCAAAATTTTCTCAATTTCCATTATAAACTGAAAGTAGCAATACTTATCTTCATTGTTAGGCAATACTAAAATATTGGGTAGGAAAGACTCTAAAAATGCCATTTCCGACGGTCTAGAGACTTCAAATTTTCAAAAAATACGGTTTTAAAGAACGTTCAGTTCGAAAAATTCAGGTAAATCAGGTGAAAAAACACTTTTTGCAACTCTGTGATCAGGCCTTGTAGTAATTTTACCAATTTAAGGAACTTAAAGGAAATCTGAGGAATTTTCGAGCTTTTTCTAAGGAATTCGAAAATTTGATTGTGAGAGCACTGGTCTTAATACTACCACATGGCTGCCGTTTCCGGTAGTTGCGTACTAAACATGTATAGTAAATTATAAACACGACAGCTTCAATACTACATTTCCTAAACTCTTCAAAACATTGAAATATATTTAATAACCCGATAGCCTCAACACTACATAGCCTAAACTCTTCAGAACATTGTAGGGACCTTTCACACAAGAATATATTTTGCTAGTCAAGAATATAAGATCGACATTA